CAGAAGTTGGAGTCCAAAGGTGATTAAGAAATAGACTCTGTTCTCGCAGAGCTCTCAGTTTGGAGGGTAGGAGACAGCTAAGTAAACCCACCATACCAAAGATATATTAAAGACTTCAATGGAGATATTTTTAGAAGGCCCTGCAAAGCCCAGAGAGGGGGAATTTAGCACAGAATGTGTTAGGGGGGAGGCCAGGGGGATTGTAAAATCCTTTAGCAGAGGGACTGTCAGAACTTGTTCTTAAAAGTCACTGTGGGTGGAGTGAGAGATGGTGGGTGTAGAAGGGGAGAGAGAAGAGGTGTGTGAAAAGCTTGTGAAGGCAGACATGCTTTGGAGACTGCAGATAGTCTTAAAAAAGGAGATTAGGGTTTGGGGGTAGTTGTGGGGTGGGGTGGAGTGAGATAAAGCTGTGACAAGTGGAGAGCACGTGGATCTATGTCATGGAGGGACAGGGACTTTATCCTGCAGATAATGGGGAATACTGAGCTGTGTATTATAGAAGGCCACTGCTCAGGAATTCATAGCTCCTTTATCTACATTCATGAGCACTCAGTGGCCTGGAACTGGGTCATCCTGGTGTGACTAAGGCTTTGTAAGATGTGATTGTTTGTGGAGCCTGACACACGGGTCACATCATTGCCACTCTGCAGTAAAGTTTGATTCCTGTTTTTTTTTTAAATGGAATATTGAGGCAGGAATTGTCTGGGGGTTTCCATTTATGCAGCGGAAGTCCAAGACAGACCTAGAAAGCAGAAGTTCCTGTCAATTAGTCTAAAGCTCAGAACACAAGACAGTTTTTCAAGAAGAACGGATGATAGATTGTTTCAGTAGTTTGTGATGGGGGAAGTCACATGACATTCTCCTTCCCTGCTACCTCAGCTTCATACTTAGCTAACTCTTGAGGAAATATGGAGATTTTTTTTAACTCAGCCCAACCCAGAGAAAACAAGTTATGAAATGAAAAACAGTTATTTAAATAAGTGAATACTTTTTCTTTTTAAGAAATGTATTCTAAATTAACCAGAAATCTATTTCAAAGACAAGACCTTAGATCCAGCACTTGGTCAGCTGGGTAGAATCTATACTTATGAAATCTATAGAATTCTGCCTCTTTACCATCTGTTGTTTTTTTAAATCATAAAATCCTAACATAGGTTTGGTTCTTTATAATATTTGACAGTGCTGCAGTTTCAGTAGTTCACTGGATTCTCACTCACACTTTCCAGATAGACGTAGAAGGGAAAGTTCTCACACTGTGAGGAGCTCTGTGCTTCAGCCAAGGTCGCCGAGGGACTGACTCAAGTCCTCTGGAGGCCAGTGATGGAATCCAGCACAGAATCAATATTTATGGCTTCTTTTTCTACCCCACCCCCATGTTATCAGCTTCTTTTCAGTGAAGGTTCTTATTAACCACAGCATTTTATCATATAGCTATTCTAGGGCTTCATTTCTTGGCTTTACGTTGAGAGCTCAGTCTTTATTTTAGTCCTTTATCCACTTTATTTGGTTATCTTCATGTGAGTACACTTGTCTATTTCTACTGAACTCCAGGCTGTGTAAGGCCAGGGCCTCCCCTGGGACTGGGATCCTGTAAGGTCTCCATTTTCGGTATGTCTCACTCTGTTCTTTCTATGTGAAACACAGGAAACAAGAGATCCTTTGGAGGACACCTGAAGGATGATTGCAAATACTTGCTTTTTGAGTCAGAAAACTAACAATATTTAAACCCTTGAGCAGAAGTCAAATTTCATCTAATCCTTCAAATTTCCTCCTCCCTCAAGGCTGTCCCAGAATTTTGTATTCTTACTTTGCTTCCGTCACTTACCAATTTGTTCACCTTCACCGACTATCAACCAAGAGATCTTACCTACTTTGCCACCTCAATCTAATACTTTTAATTCCCAAAACACTACTGTATTAGGCACTGTAGAAAAATAGAGCAGATAGTACTTACGGGATCATTATCAACTAGACACCTGCTATACACCATCACTGAAGTTGCCCCAACACCTACAGCTGCCTTCAGTGTTTAGAAGTCTTTAGAATTCAGGTTTTCCTACAGTACAACCTCAGCAGTCATGATGGAACCTGACAGACTTTTTTTCCTCTAACAAAGATGAGCCTCAGGTGTTGATTGACCTTTGTTTGCTTTCCTAGGCTTTGTAGAATTGCATTTAATGAAGGACTTTGAATTGAAAAGTCACTTTCCATTTTTGTCTTGCTTATGAGGAACATAGAAAGGACTTTAGATTTCAGAATTCAGGACATTTTTACTTATTTTTGAGCAGTGGCAGGTGCAGACAGACACTCACAGCCCCACCTCACATGCTTAGCATTCACTGACAGCTCCACACAACCAGTCAGCCAGTGTTCAAAGTGAGGGGCAAAGGGGGTTGTGTATTGTATTCATTCTCACTGAATTTTCATGTTCATTCTTCTCGAAAGAACGTCTTCTCGGTACTTCTGAATGAAGAATGACGTGGGAGGACATCGAAATTCAAGGAAAATATTCAGATATTGGAAAAAATAAGTTTTACTGGCAAGTCTTATTTTTTAAGACAGCTGAATAACCTTTAATTCACATGAACATCCACATATCTTTTAAAACCTGCTTCCTCACCACTCTGACAGTTAGAATTTTATCTCTTCACTGTTAAGATTTCTCTAGAGAGTACAGTACTGCATCATTCTGACAAACCTGAATGTGAAGAGATGAATGCTCCTCATCTCTGAAACACTTCAGGGTAAGTTGCTTTAACCAGTTTCCTGTTTTCAGAGGCTATTTTTCTGTCATCCCTACAGATCTATCAATGTTCATTTAATTTTTTTTAACAGCCATATTTTATAAAAAGTGGAATTCTCCTCACAGTAAGACTGAGCTCTGCAATCTGGAGCCATGCTGATTACTCTTATCTTGAGGGCTGTGTGTGCTGATACGTAGAAAGAAGACCTGTATGTTCAGGATTCACAACCACCCGTGTCCAGCCTGAGAAGCGCTGCTTTCTTACTTTTAAAATAAGAAACAAATTGTTTCTAAAGGAAAGGAAAAACAGCTCAGAAGGTTGTTAACTGTTTCAGTTGTTTACCTAGATCATTTCTTTGTTTCTCTGAGGTCTCTGTGTGAATCACTAGCAAACTGCTGGTCTGTCTGTCTTGCGTATTGATTGAAGTTCAGTACTAGGTTTCAACTCCCTCCGAATGCTTCCTAACCCTAGAATGCAAAGTGCTATCATATATCTCTGTGGTGAAAGACCCTGAAGGACAGGGCTTCTCTGTGTTTATCTTCAGAAGGCTGAAGTACGTATCTTTGAAAGCTGTGTTGTTTCTTCTACGTGCATGAGGTTACACTGGTCTGCATGTGTGTTCCACCTCATGACAGACTGCTTTTACCTGGAATTTACTATTATTATTTGAATTCTCATAGTATTTGGAGTACACGCATTTAAAATTATATTTATCTTATATCTAAAAAGATAATTAGGTCCCAGCAGCCCCAAATCATTCAGCCAAATGGAATAAATGGAAAGGAGAATGTTAAAAAGGAAGTTGTTTAGTTACAGCCCATGCTGCATTCTCTATTTTTCTCCTAATTGTGTGTCAATGACTGGCATATTTTCCACAATCTAAAGAATTTTCCACATGCCCTGGTCCAAATTGCAAGGCTAAAGGAAAAAGGTTTTCTTTTTTTTTGAACAAAACTGAAATGCAGGTGATTAGAAATGATTAAGTGAATGCTGTTAACATTAGTGAGGTCACTGTAACACCAAATATAGGACTGGTTAGATAAGCAGTTTCCTGTGTTAAAGATCAGAGGTAGAACTCTACAGGAAGGCAAATGGGCAAGGTGATAAAGTAAAAGTCTTTAGCAAAAAGGAATACATTTATAGATTAAGAACCTCTCAGGTTATTTAAAAGGGCTCTTAAAAAATTCCTGTAATGTGTTCAGGCATTCCAGTCACAATTTCAGAGGCTTCTATTGTCCAGGTCTGTTAGAATGAATTAAGTGGGCTTTTTCAGATCTTTGTGACTTACTTGTCCTTTTTTTTTCCCCATGAGCATCATTCTGATTTTTAAGTTATAAGCAAAGCTGTTTGACATCATCTGTCAGTGACTTTATCTGGTAGGAATGGGGGCTTGAAAGTGACATTATAGGTTTTAAGTGTGAAGTGTCATTTAATGTACTCCTCATGGTCTTCCCTGTTTCTGATGACTTCACCCAGCCTCATCATTCTTTAGACAGGTCAGCAATGAAATTTCTGAACCACATGAATGAGACAAAACAATCTGAGTGACATATTTCTTGAAAAGTGACAGATTGCTTGAAAAATCATCTATGCACCTTCAATCGAAGAAATGACATTTACTTACATATGCTTTGTGAGTCTTCGTGTGAGTAAATGATCCATTACTAAGAGTGTTGCTGTTTCCCTCAAAAAAGAAAAAACCTTCTGCTGCTTTTTTCTTTCTTTGCAGATTATAGTGACTGCTGTGAACCATACAATTTCACTTTTAAATTTGTGACTTCTAAAATTTCTTTTTCTTCTTGACATCATGATGTGGCCTCAGAAAAGTCAGACAGTTGTTATTGCAAATAGAGAGCTGCTCCACTCAGACATTGAATAATAGACAGACAATTATAAATGCCTGGATTCTTTTTTTTTCATGGTGGCTGCTTTTATATGTGGAAGAAAACCACATTCACAGAGGTCATTGTTATTGGTGATTAGGGACCCATTCCTACTACATCTGTGAAATACCTTGTTGAAAATTTTTTTTCTTTCGTTGCCTTATCAACAAATTTCTGTTTTATAAAAGACTTACATCAGGAAGTATCATTGAGGCATAAGACTATTTAAAACTTCAGAAGACAACGGGACTATATAATATCATCTAATCAAACTTGGGAGTGTAACAGGTTGGAGAGGAACACCCCAGGGCACACACTGAGCTCATAGCATGCTAAAAGTCTGTCTGTATTTTTTTTTTTTTGGATTCTGTAGATGGCCGCCCATGTCCTCTCATTCTCTGGGACTCATCTTTATCTCCAACAAGTAATGAGACCCATTCTTCTGTTAAGCTCACCTGGGGAACTTACCAGCAGTTATTGAAACAGAAGTGCTGGCAGAACGGCCGACTACCCAAACCTGAATGGGGTTGCACTGAAATACATCACCATGAGTGGCCCAAGATGGCACTCTTTGACTTTTTGCTACAGGTAAGTTTATCAAGTCAAGTAAGTGGTTATCTCAGACTGGTACTAAATCACATTAAGTCTGACACTAAGTAGTTTTTTGCTCTTTGAGTTTTCATGAAGCCAGAGTTTTAAGTTCTGTAATGCTCTGTTTGGCAAGTGTAGTACCAACATTACAAAATTTTATATCTTTTTAGGAGATATTCAGAAATGTCCCTCGGTCCTTTAATTAATTTCTGAAGAAGTAATTCTTTGGTACTTTTGTCACGCAATAGTCATACTCATCACAGTTACAGTTTAATGAGATAAATTATTAAATTTATAACAACTCAACATCCACAACTCTTCAACATAGACAGTCTTATCGCATTTGGGAGGTGAGTAAACTAACGTTTGCTGAGGTTAAGGAACTCACTGAAGTTCTGATGGCTACTAAAAGCTGGAGTTGTGATTCCTTGGGATCTGTTGATGGTAATAGTTTGTCTTTTTCCATCATTCTTCAACAGTACTTGGGGACTCCTGATGGTCCCTTCACCAAACCAAATAGTCTGCTGTCCAGCTCAATTCTCACTGGTGGCTCTGTGGTGCTGACACCATAGATAATTCTCTCCTTAGAGACACTGAGTATCAGTGGTCACTTGACCTCAAAGCGTGTAGCCACAATTTCTCTTGTTTTCTTTCCAGTATTTTTTTGTAAATATCTTATTAAGATTAGACATTGGAGAATAATAAATATTGATTATCTATATAACTGAGTGACTTGACACTTTATAGGTTTCTTACAATTCTTACCTTCTTTTGATAAAGATCTCATGATTCTCTCTGCCCTCTCATTTTGATTACTGCCTTTCCCTTCCTCCATTTTAGAAAAACTGGTTTTCCATTGTTGTCTAAGTAATTAGTATTTTGTGGAAATTAAGGACTGTGTCAGCACATTTGCAAAATATTCTCCTGTTAATTCTTTTTGTGTATGTGTGACATTTTAGAAAGGGACTAGAGAAGGAGAAAACTGTAGGAAGAAAACCAGTTTAATGCATAGTCACATTCAAGGGATTAGGAACGGTCAAAAGGAGAGAATTATCTATGGTGTCAGCACCACAGAGCCACCACTGAGAAGTGAGCTGGACAGCAGACTATTTGGTTTGGTGAAGGGACCATCAGGAGTCCCCAAGTACTGTTGAAGAATCCATCTATGAGGCTTAGGCTGGTTTTAAATGTTGTGCATGTATTATCTCATTCCACTAATTAACATAGTAACTCTGTGAGGTAGGCACCCTGTCTCCATTTCACAGGTAAGGAAACTGAAGCGTAAGGAGGTTGTTATTAAGAAGTGTGAAAAGTTTGAGACCTTACCCTTCTTGTAAGCTAGCAAGTTACCCAGCTACATGTTCATAGATGTGCAGAAGACAAACGATGCTGGGACTAGAGACAAATGACTTCATTACTCATGGTATAGCAGGTGGCTTGAGCTTCATATTTCTCTGCCCCTCAAGTCCTGTTTGGGTGATACAGAGTGGCCCCTGTGGATGCTGCATAGAGTGGGTTTGTGTCACTGCAGAGGAACTCTTAAGTTTGGCAAATCCCCAGTCTTATGAGAGGCTGCAGGCAAACAAGCCCAACATTTGCCCTAGAAGGAGACATCTTTATTATCCTGATCAGGACACAAATCTGCCTTCTACCCCATGAAGAGATACTCTTTGTATCTTCCAAGGCTACATACTAATATCCTTGAAGGGATAGTGCAGAACAAAACCTTACAGAAGATGTGTAGAAATGCCATATATAAGTGTCTCTCTCTCTACAGTTACTTAACTTGCTTAGTATTACATAGCTAGCAGGTTTGGTGAACTCTAGATTCCATATTTTTAAGCATTATTGTATGAGAACTACCACATTATCCTTAGGTTACTGAAAGAAGTTGGTAGGATACATTGTATTAGCAATAAAGTGGAGATATCTAGGGTGAAGTAGGTAAAGGTACTCACCATAGGCCAGATGTTTGTGGGGTGGTTAGCATAGGTGTTGAAGTTCCTGATAATGATGACTAGGGGTAAATGGAGAGCAAATTCATGAGCTTAGGAGTGAAGACTATGAGAAACGAATGACCTTGAGATTTGTAACTGACAAACGTAAGAGCTGACCTATAGTTAATAGAAGGCAAACCCTTTTAGATGTTGTCTCTAGTGACATTTAATTCTGGAATCTTCAACTAAATCTCAACCTACCCTCTGTTTTTATCATTCCCCTTTCTAGTGAGGGATTCTACAATATTACTGTATTTATGCAACCTCTATGGTGCATTATACTGTAGAAAACAACCACAAAGTAGTAAAAGATAGTTATCCCCACTATTCCACCCAAAGTTTTTTGTTTTTTGTTTTAATTAGGAAAACGCAGTGTATGAAACAGATCCATGTAGGAATGGCTATCTGAAAGTTCTTATTGTTCTGGGGTCAAAAGAGGAAGAGCATTTTGCCATAAAATAGATCGTAACGGATGAAGGAAATGGGATTCGTAGTATTCCTATCACATTTAGGTCTTCCTATATACACCAGATGTCTGAAGCAGAGTTTCTTAGGGAAGTAGTGCAACTCCCTGCCCATAAGAGATGTGGTAGAATATGGAGGAAGAGAGCTGTTTTCACAAGATGTGTGTTCATTTTGTAGCTCTCTGTTCATTACTCTGACTGAGCATGAACAAATTCCATCTGAGCCAATCTCCTGCTGAGTGCATCAGTAGTTTTTACATCATCATATCTGTTGTTTGTATTCTTGAAGATGCATCTGGGCACATTAAATCACTATTACAAATTTTCAACAAAGAAATATTTCATATCTTTACACTAATACTATTAATAGTCTAACAATCATATAATACTTAGTATATACCTAGCTCTGTTCTAAGCACTTGCTACTAAACCCTGAGGTTAATGTATCTGCTCTTCACATTAACCCTATTAAGATGATATTATTATTATTAGTATTTGTATTTAAAGAGATCAAGACAGAGAAACAAAGTAACTTGACCAGAGTTACATATCTGGTATGCAATAGAACCTGAAGTCAAACTGAGGGGGTCCAAGCTTCTGAACAGTGCTTTCTCCTATCCATTTTATGGGGGAATGAGACCATCATCATCCAGTTTTCCAAGTCTTAAAATTGGGAGTCATCTAGGCACTCTGTGATGCTTACCCTCACAATGATACAGTGGCAAAATCCTTGATATCCCCCAAACCCATCTTTTAGGTTAGCTTGGGCTCCTGTCTTCCTTCAGCCTTCGTCACTTATTACCTGGATGACTGACTCCCTCCAACGCACTAAAACTGTATTAGCCAAGATCACCTTTGGCTCGAGGTAATGGGCATCAGGCTGCTGTTACCTCTGCAGGAACTGATTTTGTTGGTAGGTCAGTTCTATCTATTCCTTCTGCCTGTGGGAGGGTAGGAGAGTTTTTCCTGTTTTTAATAATCCATGCCAATGAGATCTCTGAAAGACTTTACTGGAATCTGTCCAAGTTAGGACACCAAGTTGCAGTTTCTAAATCTGGCTCTGGCTAACACAGTGATTCTAAAAGTCAGAATCCAAGTGTTAAGAGTTATTTTGGTAGGTATTTGTAAAAGTATATAAAATTATTTATATGAGGATGACATCTGTGAGAATGGACATTTTTTTCATTCATGCAACATTTATTTAATATCCTCAGTACAATAGACGCTGATTTCTTCTAGATGATGCAACATTTTACAGTTTCACCAGTTAAGATATGAGGGTGCCTATTTCCCTTTCTCTTGCCAACTTTATGAAGTGGAAAACTAGCTAATACATTGCTGGTTTTATAGAGGATAATGGCATCTTGTTTATATTTCCAGTTTTTCATTATGAGTGAGATTGAGGATATCATATTTTAAAATATTGGTTATTTGTATTTTGTTTTCTATGACTTGCCTATTCAAATCATTGCCCTTTTTATTTCATTCTTTGACTTTTTCTTATTGATCTATAAAAACATTTTATATATTATGAAAATTAGCTTTTATCAATCCTGTATGTCTCAGTTTTTCTCACTTTGTCCTTTTTGTTTTCACTTTGGACATAGTAAATTTTATACCAGAGAAACTGAACATGATCATACCTTAATTGATATTTTATTTTCTGTATTTACTTTCATGCAATATTTACTGAAAATGTTTACTGAACAAATAAATGAGTAGATGAACAAACTTAGGTCATTTTTCATGAGTACCATAGTAATTATCTTTCACACAATAATCCTTCTCATCAATTACATTGACATATTTATTTTAAAGTCAAATATATAACTATTTAAATGCTGCTTGGAAATGTGTTGCAGTGAATTGAATGGATTTTGTGAAAAATCTTAGAAAATTATGCCTGAAGCAAATAAGAAGCACTTGCTCTGTGATGCTACAGCAAGACCAAAAGAATACAGAACCCGGTTGTTAATTTTCTATACACAACAATCTTTTTGTTTGGCCCAATTAACAAATCTACATTCATAAAGGCTTTGCCATTTTACTGGGCCTGTAAAATGTGATCAAGGCACAAGTAACCTTTTATTCTTAATGCGTGGGGATATGAACTGGGCAGACAAAAATCCACCTCCATTAGGATAACAAAGATTAGTATTCTAGACAACGTTTGAGTTTCTGAGATTTGCTCAAATTTCTTTCAAAAGATTACATAAAATAACAGAAGATTTAGGATGTAGAAAATTTGCTTTTGACCTCAGAGACTGTCTGTGTAATGGTTATGAATTGAGATTCTGGAACCAGTCTGATAAATTTGAATCCCAATTGCCTGTACTGATGTTTTTTAACATTTAGAAGTTATTTAACCTCTCTCTCTGCCTCAGTTTCCTCATCTTTATAATATGAATAATAATATTGTTTATACAGAGGGCTGTTGAAAGAATTCTTTTATACAATAAAGGATTTAGAATAATGCTGTTACTCAGTGACTATCATGTACTAATTAAAAAATTGATCATCCAGAAATAATAGTAGA